ACCGTACTATCAGTTCTGCTGTACGGTTGTGAGACCTTGAACTTGCAGGTCGAAGAAATCCGTCGTTTAAGCAGTGTTCGATGCCCAAGTGGGATGGAGTGAGCGGGTTAGTAACTTGGAAGTCGTCGGGTGTTTGGGAATACATAAAAAAGAACTCACTACCGCATCGAATCCATCTCAATAGGCTCCGTTGGTCAGGGCACGTTTTGCGTATGTCCTGACAGTAGCCTACCGCAGCGCGCCTTATTTGCGGTGGCTGCTGCAGGCTGGAAAAAGCCACATGGAGGCCAGCAGATGACGCATGAAGAAATGCACAGAGTGATTAGGTAGAGTAAATGTCTCTCGTCTTCCGGGTTGGAGTCCAAAAGACTCCGAAACCGCATGGTTGCGAACCGACAGCAATGGCGGTTATGTTGTCACTTCCTATCAGGCCAGAGTGCAGGAAATAGTATGTGTGCACAGTTGGGCGGTGTACTCCGTGACCAAGATAACCACAACTGGTGAAACCGGTTAGATGTACTGGTTAAACTCTAGCCAAAGAAGCTTGCCGTAATGACATTAGTGGATCTATTCCATTCAACAAATGTGTAATGGGCCGCTGTGATAGAGTGGTCAAAAGAGCCACCTGGAGGTCCCGAGTCTGAACCCTATCACAAAACACTCACTTTTCCATTCTTTTTTATTTCCCAAGGCAACCTTAGCATGGTCATGACCCATGTTATTTTGTATGAACTATAAACAAAAAAGAATAAAAAACCTGTCAACTAGTATTATTTATCAATATCAGTATTCGAGAATAGGCTCATGGTCGTTCCGAAAACGCCAACCGGGAGAACTAGGATAATAACGAAGAATTTGGCGTACATGAATTGCAAGACGATGGGAGGAAGTTTTGTATCACCCGACCACTGCGGTTTTACATCCAAGATGAAGGTTCAAATGCGGTTTTTTGAATAGGTTAACTTTTATCAACCCTTGCTGAGAAAAAATTGGGATCAATTAACGGAAGTGGAAAGTGGGCAGAGTATTATTATGGCCACAGTCGAAATCAAGCTTGTCCCATAATGACCTGATTAACAGCTCTAGTGATCCTCAGTGACGAGCTATCTGCAGCGAACCGAATTTCGCGCACTGGAAAGGTGACATTCGTTGTGGAAATGAGTGAGAGCCCTCCGCTATCATCTGTTACTTTTCTATTCACCGATCGAACGTAACCGTAACTCCTAGTTTCATTTGCGTCCCGCATGTCGAGGCTCCCTTGAACATTGAGTTACTGGTACCGAATAAATCAGAGTAACGCAACGCTCGCAGAAGCCTCCTAAAATACAACATTAGCCTTCGTAATCCGGTTACATCCATGTCCTGAATAGAAACCACCAGATCCAATGAATCTCGCGGCGTACGCTTCACTGGTCCAATCTTTATAGGCTACAATTTGCTCACCAACCATTTAGTTATGGCGTGGTAAGGTGAGTTGCACATGTCCAATATCGGCGTGAGCGGAACACCAGTTTTATGTATTTTCGGTAGTCCATCCATACAATGCTAGAAAACAACGACCTCAAAGCTTTCATCGACAAATGTTGGCGATACAAAAGATATGTAGACGGTATGTTATGTCTCATGGGCGAGGTTAGTAATCCCAATGAGCTACTGGCAACACCGAACTGCGTGCATCCCAATATTAAGTTTACTTTAGAGCAGGGAACTAACTCGAACGACGTGAAGAGGGTTCTATCCAACGCTCGGTTTTGAAAAAAACATGTGGTCGGGTCAACACATTCATCTTCAGAGTTTCGTACTTCTCAAAAAAAATCGAAATGCGGTTCAATGTCTCGTTAACAGGGCGCAAAAAATCTGCTCGACTGATACAGTTTAGAACGAAATAGAATTCCTGCGCCGGATCTACCAACAAAATGGAAACCCGGACCGATTTGTACGCAGCATAGTAAGATACCAAACAAACGGAGGGTTTTTTAGAGTAGGCAAGAAATCAGTGTACATGAAACTGCCGTTTACAGATGACACTATGACAGAAAGTTACTCGGACATTGTATCCTATCCGAAATAGCCAGATAAAAAAAACCCGGAGGAACTTGTTGACCGGCATAGAAAGGTTATCGTCGAGTCATTGTCAAAACTGAAGTTTATGATTCGGCTTCCATGCAAGGATAACGTTACCAAATTGTTCTAGCGATGTTCACGCCGGATTTTCTGCGCAGTCAAGTCTTGAATCACACAGAATAGGTATATCCCCCCCCACCCCCACCCAGTTGACCGAAGTCTGCTAGTGCACGTTGCTTCAAACCTAACCTATGAGTTCTGGTGTCGGTGTGAAACAGAGCGGCAACTGCACCACCGGTTGGTAGATCTCAGAAAACCCTAGGATGCTACATCGGGTCTAACAGAGCCGGTTGCTGTCAGGTATCGTGTACACAAAGCAGAGGGCCTTCCGATCGCCAAACACCTGCCGGCGGCGCGACACCAAGTTGGTCAAGGGAAAGCACTCTGAACATACAGCTAAAATGCTCAAGATTGCGGAAGCGACAGCTATCAATCGGTGGAAACGCTTCTTAAATCAACAAAATACAGGTTGGTTCATCACCCTGATTCGGCCGTGGTGAGCCGTTCGGAAATACTTCGTGAGTAGCGAATCATAAAAAGACAATGTCTCCGTCCAAAGCCGGTACAAGCTGATAACTCATTGGTATACCGCGTTTTCGTTAAATGCATCACGGGGAAAAAGCCTGTTTCAGTAGAAAAAAACACCAACTAAACCAAAAGGTGAGTGACTAGTACGCATCCACCAATCCTTTCCCAATCCCGCTTACTCAAACACAACCTCGTCGGACTATAGTGTCTACCCCCTCCCCCCTCCTCAGAATAAACACGAACGGAACCGACGATCCGCGAAACGTGGCACAAACATGCGGGTAGAANAATTCACAGATAAGGTAAAAATATGCAAGTGTATGTATGTATGTATGATAGAGTAGTTTTTGCAAAATAGACACACACACACACGTGAGATAGGATCTGTACGGAAATAGGTGAGTTGTAGTTGTAATGCTGTTGACTTCATTTTATTCTCTCTTCCAAGCATAAACAGAGAACGAGGGAGGGGGCGGGATCGAGAACATAGAGCATCGTACACTCGGGCCCGGTACACGTGATGAAACTTTGAACGGTGAGGAGAGAACTAGAGAGGCAGAGAGAAGGAGAAAAACACATGCGGAACACTTCAAATGCACAAAATACCAGGATTGCGGGCCTCGGTGAGTGAGTCCGATGGAACAGTAAGCTACATATCGCATCATCAGTCCCAAATAAGTTTTGGCTTGAAGGACTGCGGGGGGAGGGAGGGCTGGAACAGGGAAAAGGCGGGGAAGAATTACAAACAATTTGTACAATTCCATGGAAACAAACAGATCAGCGAGGGATTGAACAGTGCGATTCCAAACGGGGATAGGCCGCTATGAGTAGATGTGATGCTTTTTGCACAACAGTGTGTACTGTTCACAATCCAGTTGACATTCTGTAACGAGAAGAGTGGAAACACAAAATGTGGCAGTAATTTGGATAACTAGCTACTCAGACAACAATCGGTCATTGACAATATCCAGAAGAAGAAAAAACATGCCAGTGAGTGGGGTGTAATCGAATCAAAGAACTGTTTCAGTTTGGCGTGTAATAAAAAACGGGGCTATTTTATGACAAGGTGCATTCGCACAATGGACGACCACTCTTATGTGTCAGTGTCTACCCGGGCCTCCGTCAGATTCCGACGAGAATGAAACCAAGACTATCGAAATGTGTGCGGCATTCGGAAAACTAACTGCCAGACGCAGGCTTTCCGACAATTATCAAAGGTCAACTTTTTGAGTCTGGTAACAACAGACCTTTGAGCAGTAAATGACTAACTGTACTAAGCAATCGACAGGATATCGAGTTCGTTTCTTTTCGGAGGATGGAAATCTCCCATTACATCCTCGGAAAACTCTATCAACCTGATCGCCCGAAAAAAGTCAAATGGAAGGAGCGATCGGATAAAAAATGTGAAACACATCGTACGAAAGTGAGCGGAATAGTGAAGTCAGGCGGTTCAGGACACCAACAACCACCGGATTCTAGCACGTAAACAGGTTTCGTTCAAACGCCCCGAACGGTTCATTGAGTGCCGTATAAGGTTTTAGAAAACAGTTGAGAATGCATACAATGTGGTTTAGGCTCGAAAACTACTCTTTTCATACTATTAAGGGAACCAAATGAAATTTCCATTAGCGCATACTGCGTAAATGATGTTTTTCTTTCTTTTTCATTTTCTTTCTTTTTATTAAATATACAAAGATACAATTTTCAGGAAGGGGGAAGCGGCCAATCAAAGGGCTGCCATACAATACACAAATGGTGAAAGTCAGGCGGTGGTAGTGGGATTCGAACACTCGTCCTCCGGGGTGATAGTTGGTGATGTTACCACCGGGCCACCACCGCTATTGAAAACCACTGCCTTTACACATATTACTCAATGGTAAGAATCACAGTGAGAAATAGTTAAGGTCATCTCCATTCATCATCTGTAATCCCGTATCAAAACTCTACCATCACGGTCAAACTATATGATGAACTTTGCCACGTGATAGCCCTTTGACTGATCGCAACTTTCTTCCCGAAAATGAAGTGGTCAGCACAATCATACATTCAATAAAAGGGAAGAGACGAAGAAGAAAAAACAAAATTGTGCTTGGAACGGAACCGCATATCTCTTCCTGGGACTGTGAAAGGTTGTCAGTGGTAGGTTTCGCGATTAAGATTTCTGGTTACCATGAGCATTTAGCAAGTTTCCTCGAATCATTCTTCCGACCGCACGTGCCACGCCAAAGGATGTTTGACGAAACAGCCGTTACTTATTCGACCCATCTGCTTCATCATCCTCAGAATTTCTCTCTCTCTCGGGATATTGCCATCATCAATTACTGAACGCTGAATTTGTAGGCAATGCTGTTGTTATGATGCAAGCAAGCGATTCCACATGCCGTGAAAACGTATATCACACACACACACACACACACACACACACATACTACCGAAAAAGTTGCAAAATACCGTCGCCCAACTGTTTCTCCTTTATAAGGAAGTGTCAGTGCATCAGCTCCTCAAACCCGGATTGGTGCAGGATTGTCAATCTCACACGTTACCAGGACTAGGAAAAGCAGTTCGTTTCCGTCCATATTGCACGATAATGAGNCCCCCCCCCCCCGAAAGGTAGACCGAGACTGACTTATTAATGTACGAATCAGGTATTATATAATCCAACAAGTTGACATAGTCTGTTTGAACGTGATGGGTGGGCCCCGATATAAAGTCCCACAGCCGCACAGCATATTTTTAAGCAGTGGAAGAAGTGCACGCCACAGGTTGAAGTATCGCGATGATTAAACCAATTAATTATTAGATTTTCTTGTAACTTCAACGATATCGCGCATTACTGAACTAAATAAAACCGTTATTATTTACTACAAGGTAACTGGAGAAAGAAGTGTGTAAACTGAAACGAACTGGTGGTGAATAAATTACAACATAACACATCGAATGCAAATAAAAATACACTCTGGATACATCCGATTCTTCCGTCTGCCAACACCCCGAGTCTAGAGTAAAAAGCACTGAGTGGATAAAGTGGTGGCAGTGGTTTAGTCGCTCTCACAGGCGTGCTTTGGACCCGATGGTCCGAGCCCCGCCACCGCCACCCGACTTTAGTGGTAGGCAGCTTTGCTGTCGCCCGATTCAATACCACACCTGACTTAGTGGGGCCTTATGTGGTTTGCCAGTCCAAGTTCCTCGAGGCTTAGGTTGCCAGTTACCATCACTGAACAGGTCTTCGTGACTATGGGGTCCGCCTGGTCTGCCGTTCATCACACATTGGTGTGAAATAAAAAAACGTCTGCCAAGGCCGAATCAGTCAAAGTTCTCGAAAGCGGTTGTTGATTTTGTTATCCAGAACCGAACTGACCAGACAAGACTTTTTTCATTAAACATACAGTTCCCCTTGTATGGTATCTACCTGATCTGTCTAGTTTCCGATTGACATCCCTGACTCAGATATAAATCATTCGGTGATGTGGCTACATGTCCTTCAGTGCATTTATGGTACAAGGGAGGAAGAGGGGACGATGAGTTGCAAAAAGAATCGCATCAATTTAAGAGAAAACCAAGGAGTAACAAAAAAACATACCGGCAAGTAATGCGCAGCGGTAATGGTAACTCAGATTGCAACCTCGACTGCAGCAATTCAAGATTGCTCCGCGTTTATCACAGTGCGAACAGACCTGCAAAGAGATAGATGCATGTTAAAAAACGGAGCTGGTTCGGTGAGAATCTGACACACACACACACACACCGGGGATAATATGACAGGAGAATACGAGAAAGAAAAAAAGGCCACAATCAAGATAACATGTACTACCCGAATGAAGCACAGTGGGCTGGTATCGAACGGGGCCCACTGTCCGTAGTATGATGTGATGTGATGGAACCTCCGAAAGCCTCAGTATGGTCGTGGGTGGATGTCTCGGGTTGTGGCTGGTTAACGTTCCCTTGCACCTCACGAAATGCTCCCATACGACCAAGCGTCTCAAACAGCCTCCGCTGTTTGAGGCCTTATTTCCTACTTTCTCGTGGGGCGGAGTTTTCTTCAACCAAAGTGAGAGGACGAAAAGCCAACACCCGAGGGTTATAACCGAATTGAAGGACCACTGGTAGCTCACATAGAGAGAGTTGATCAAAAATCCTGATTCCAAACCATTCAGGAGACGTATGAACCATACAATCACACACACCTTCACAGTTGTGGCAGTGGTCAACGGCTCAATTGGGCACCTTGAACGTTTGACCCCGTCCAAAGGGCGTATGATCCGATAAAATGGACACCAACCCCAATGGATTACGGTTTTCACACACCGACCCGCTGCCTTGCGGGTCAGGCTTTGGCTAATCGAAGGCTCCGATTGTGGATTCCTCAGGAAAATTCACCTGCTTTGGCAGTATTCGGCCCACATGCAAATCACGGAACATTGCTGTTTTTAATAAAGATTATTGTACCATGATTTGCTTGGCACACACTCTGTTCTTAGACAAGAGTAAAATATAATGATACTCTGCCTGCGTTTTGTGAGCTTGGCTGCGACCGGTGAGGTTTGCTTCACTGTATCTTGCTATGCGATGAGGATATTCTGTGTGGACATTTCTTGTGTTAACTTCCGGTGATGAAATTCGTTCATACACCAGAACAACTTTGTACATGCTTCAAAAAAACATGTTTCGGATGCAGCAATCCAAAGCATTTAACGAGACACTGCAGGGTGGGTGCCCACCGACATAAAATGACGTGATGATGATGGTGGTGGTGAGGGACTATTGCGCTTTAAGCGATTGACTGTTCATGATGAAACCATACAAGGGGGCTGTGATTTCGTTAGCCACAACTTTATACAAAACATTTATACAGTGGATTAACTTCCATGAGGAACGGTAGACTGACCTTGTGAAAAGAAGCATATTGTGATCAGTTTGATTCTGAAAGCAGATTTCTTCAAATGACAGGACGTATTGTCAAGTCACAACCAGAACCGAACCGCGGTCGTTGGGCCACCATGTGTTCCCGTGTCTTCAGCCAACTGGTTCCAGTTGTTCGAAAGGAAGACATCTAGTTTGACTTATCAACCCGTTGCTACCTAAACGTTGTCTACACGTCATGTGGTGACCGGAACGGGGGCTTAAATTTCACGGGACGTGCACTATCCTGCGAAGAACATCAGCCCTGTTTAGGTGACATTGATAGTTTTACGGAGACTTACAAATACTAAGTCGTTATGTCACAGATTGAAAATATGATTAACTAATTCCCGTAGTAGTATTGTCTGCTCTTACTCATCTATTTTTAGTCTTTGATCGTTCTCAACACCATATTTTCTTGTTTTCATACCGACACCTGGAGGTTTCATCACTTCAGTCAAATAAATAATGTGAACCCCCAAAAATGTAAAAACCGTATATGCGGGCATGAACGATATGGTCTAAAATTTTTCTTCTTTGAATAGGCCACTTTAGGGTGATATAAGTCAGGTTTGTACCCAGAAAGCAAGGAGGAAAGAAATAAGGAATCAGCATTAACTATGGGAGTAAATTGCGACTTCAAGAGAGAAAGGACTATAAATGGTTTCCACCTTGGCAAGGTGTAAGGGGTATCTGATAAAAGTAGAACCTCTTATCCGGTAAACTGTCATGGTCTCTGGAGGTATACTCTACCGCGTTGGTCTTCATCACTCATCCAAACATCACATGTGGCTCCAAACAGCTGAGTCATGCATCAGCTGCCAAATCCTGGCAAAACACTTGGCAGGTGGCCTAAAACACATCGCAGGTAACCGAGGTCTATAAACCTCGAGGAGACGGCTTACGCGCATGTGAAGACAATTGATCCTGAGTGAACGAAGGAGACCCACTACCTGATGCAATGGTTAATATGATTATGATATGATATGGGAAAAAGTATACGATCATCAAACTAAGATTTGGCATCAGGAGATGAAAACCCTTAGTAGGAGACCTGTTCACATAGACTACGTTAGGCTTACTGGATGCGGATATCGGGATCATTGTGATTGATAGAGAAACTGGGTGATACAGCTGAGTGCCGTAAACCGTGGTGATCGGGGATCTACTCAATATCCTTGCGACCTCAGTCTTCATCATCACCGTACAGCGAAATACAGCGAACTTCACTGATCGCTGCCAAACTCACAATGCATATGAATTAAGGTTTGATGGACGAGTGTTGCTAGGGTGTCCAGCCACTAAGCAGGAGAACAATGAAGGTTCTCGTCCAAAGCCTTTAGTTCTAACAAGTGGAAGCCCATTTACTTGGATCCATTACTTTTCCACCGTTTTTTTACCGACTGAAACGTAAATTCCAGTCGAACTCTCAACCTGAAGAACCAGGAGACTGGACTTCGTCCGACCTCTACCCTTCGACCTTCCAGGCATGATTAGCTCTTCGGCTTGACAAAAGCCGTTCTGTGTAGCTCCTTGGGTCACAGAGTCACACAGGCCATCACACCACGTCAAGGCGCAGTCTCGTTGTGAATGAAGTCAGTGTTTTTAACAATGCAATACAAGAATATTGGTACTAGTCGGTCACCCAGAACTAGTGAAAGAATTTTGGACAACGAAAAGTGTAGGCCTCGTGTCTTTTGGCTCGATAATAAACTTTCGTCCAACGAGGTAGCATATCTCCGGGAGAATAGATCTGCCCCATTTTTAGCATACATTATGGTATAGTATAAAAAACAAAATGAAATTTAGAATCGAAAGCGAATTAGTTATCATAATTACCGTATCCAGAGATAATTGAAGAGCTTCTCCTAGACCACCGATAGTTCCATCACCGAAAATATATGTTCCAGGAGCCCATAGAGCACATTCCAGATGCACCCACACTTCTCCATCCGCGGAAACTCGAGGTTTGGGAACCGGAGCTTTGTCCTTTGTTGTCTGACTGTTCGGAGCTTTGATAACCAGTCGTAATGCGCCCATATTAGCCACCGTGGTACGCCCCTGGGCAGCAGCAGACCGTGTCAGCGTGGATGTGATCACCTCGGACCGAGTCAGTTTCCCTTTTCGATCAGGTTTGGCCTCTTTTGTGGATGTGGTCGAGGACGGAGTAACCGTGGGTGTTTGTGCTTGGGCAACGCATTCCGCTATGAGTTGGGCTTTTTCCGACGCGGTAACATAGTACGGTCCGTATAGGCCTCCAAGATTCAGAAAATTGTTATCCTCACCACAAAAAGCACAAAGCCAGGTGGTTTGATTTGAGGTAGACTCCAAGGATTGTTGTATATCTCTTAACCTTTGCTGAACGGATGGCTTGTATGATATACCTAAAATGGCAGAGAAGAACGGGGACGGTTACCTGTATCCCCTTTGTCAGTGGTTCTGTATGGCAGCCCCGTTTTCTGTCACAAGCGGACTAATAATCGGGGTGTGACTAACATTAGCAAGAACCATACATCACTAGAATGTACCATGGTATTTTTCCAAATGAATAAACGACAGTATTTGACGGTGACACAAACTGAACAATAATTGCGTCCTTCGACAGAGACAGTATAAGCCGTCGTCCTTCTAAGTAATTACGGGACAACATTTATGTTGATGATTTGGACATACACCAAGTAAGCTTTACCGATGCCTTCTCTAACGAGCCCTGCAAAGATCCGTTGGATATGGCTGGAAGGAGTCCCTTTACTGCGTCCCTGAATTGTCAAGGGGGAAGAACGCATTGGCCTTAACTGAAACTTCTCAAAGACAGGTTTGATATATGATACATGCCGAATTATTGGAGAGAAAATTATTTTTTTATTACACATGTGTTTGATGTGCAGCAGACGGGGCGGACTCCATAAGCACGAAGACCCACTGTTTAGTGATGAAAAACGGCAAACCCGGAAATTGGAGTGAGGAACCACATAAAGCCCGGCGTGGTACTGAACCGGAGCACAGCAAAGCTGTCTACTACAAAAGTTGAGTGGCGGTGGCGGGGTTCAAACTTCGGACCGTAGGGTCCAATGCACACCGGTGACAGCGACTAAACCACTGCACCACCCTTCATTTTAAGCTAGGAGCAAAATTTCTTAAATGAGTAACACAAACAAATGCATATATATATCCCTTGAATATGTCCCCAATTGCATTTGACTCGCTTCTCTTTCGTTCCACGGATTTCTCCTCTAAGATGGGTATATGTATAAATTCTCTCCGAGAATTTTCATTTATATTCATACTTACGTCGTGTGATGGGCACAAAGTTGGCTTCCTATTCTGTAAGACTAGGTCACACACGCCCTGTTAGGCTCCCTGGCTGGGGGCCCCGAGATGATGGTCACCGATGGTTAGAGACACTGAGTGATATGGCTGGGTGTCGCAAGTAATGGTGCTCGTGCATCCACTCAGTATTCTCCCAACACTACTCTATATGAATTCTCCATTTTCCGCTTGAATTTGCTTTCAACATTCCAATCTTCATTCTACTCTTTTATCCAAATGGGGCACCAAAGGACAGCAACCAAAACCGGCGCACGAAAGTGCATGCTTAATGGTTGTAAAACCTGAACCTGAATGTATCGTTGACCGAGTCTAGCGTAAGACTATTCCGCTGGCCAACGAACCGTCTTCAACCCATAATCTGCGCCCGCTTTCCTATCACGGGTAATAAGTTCATCACCTCTTTCCTACCGTTAATTGTTTGAGTTCTATTTATGACTCCTTTCTGCGGTTCTCCTCCCAATGTTCTTTTTTCATCCATCTCGATCATAAGCAGCCGTTTACCCTTGTTAGGCTTCTGATAAGCTTCAGTATAGTCAGAGGTGGATGTCTCGGGTTTGGCTGGTCACCCCTTCCTTGTACTTCACGAAATACTTATATAGGGTCAAGTGTCTCAAATAGCCTCTGCTGAGGAAGCCCTGTTCACTGCCTTCCCCTGGGGGAGGTGTTGCCCGTAAAAGTGAGAGGACGAAAAACCAACATCCGAAGCTACAAACGCGTCGCTGAACCCCTTGTAGTCACCCTACGGGAGTAGGCTAAAATCGCTCATTTCAAACCAACCAAAAAGAGGCGTACGAAACATACACACATCTTTCCGGGTGTGGCAGTAGTCACAACCTTGATTGGATATCGAGGTGAACTGGGTACCTTGGACGTACGGCTCCGTCCAAAGGGCGTACAATCCGATGAACTGGATACCGAGCTAAAGTGGTTTTCACGAACCGAACCGCTGCCTTGCCGGTCAGGCTTTGGTTAGCCGAACGCTCTGATTGTGAATTTATCAAGAAAATTCACCTGATTCGGTCTTAGCAACTTAGCAGCATCGCGCCCACGGACAGATCATGAAACATTTTTCTTGCTTATAAAAACCATTGTGCCGTAATTTGATTGACACTTTGTCTGGATCCAGAATAGTATGTACCATAGTAATCATCGAGTTTCTGACCTCAGATGTCGAAACTCTATCTTCCACAACTCTTTTTTCCGGACTACGACACTGTGGAGCAACCTTCCTATTTCCATATCACCAACCACCTACAAACCTGATACCTTTAAAAGCCAGATCAACTAACTGGTTCATACCGGAATGATCTCTGAATACCTCGCTTTAGGTCTTTAACTTTTTTTTATTACACACCTAGGTGTGATGAACAGCAGACGGGGTAAACCCCATAGTCACGAGGACCTGCTGTTAAGTGGCTGAAATCGGCAATCTAAGCCCCGGAACTTGGAGTGGCGAACCACATAAGGCCCCGATAGGTTAGGCGTGGTATTGAACCGCACGGCAACAGAGCTGCCTACCACCAAAGTCGGGTGGCGGTGGCGGGGCTCGAACCTCGGACCATAGGGTCCAGAGCACGCCGGTGACAGCGACTAAACCACTGCGGTTTACGTTTTTTACCGATCAGTTTATGCGCAGCAGAAAACCCCCGTAACATGGGATTTTGTGAACTCGATGGAGCCAAGTATTTGCGAAATCGACTTGCAAGGTAGGTAGGATAGAGAACGACTTGTTCATCCGGAAAACTCTTCAATGGGAGGAAAAGCCGGAGACGACAAGATGAACCGAAAGTCAATTTGAATGCTTCTGTCACATAACGAAAGCCTGATATCGCTAATATCCTCACCCCAGTAATTCCAATGCCCAGCTGCACAAAAGTACGATGAATAGGACTATACTGAATTCAGATTACTAGTTTCTAAGATAAATGCTATGTAGTGTCCAAAAGGTTAAAACTGAAAAATGTGGATCAAAACGAAAACAAGTTAACAATTTTTGAGAAGATAGTTTACCTGAAAATACTGTACGCGTATCGGTGCCTTCGACAGCTTTCTCAAGGACAGAGTTGTGAGCATTGCATCCGGCATTTAGGGGACAAGAAGAAGGTACCGATGAGTAGGAGTTTGTTGCAGTGGGAGCGGATCCCTGTCCGCTTATACCTCGGAGTGCAGGATTGATTATATGCGCTGGCATGGAAGCGGCTTCAATCGCTGACTCAGCCGGAGTTGAGTTGTAAGCTGTCGTGTCCGCAGTTGAATGACTCCGATTTTGAATCAAGGCCGTAGTATGACTCAGATTGGCCACCGTACCCCCAGATTGACATAAACATAGAAATGGAGATTCCAAGTAACGCCTGTTGGTCGCAGCTTCGGCGGATGTAGCTTTTTGTGCATCATTGGGTGCACTTTTGCCACTGGACCTACGCAACAGGTCGAGGAACAGATCAGGTTTTATAACGAACTCGAAAATGTATCAGAAAAATGCCAATGTAGTCAATAGCTCGCCGATAAGACGGTGCTTCACTTAATCTGTTATCGTTGTTTTAGTGACCTCGGTTTACGGAAACTGATATTTGTTGTTCCAACCAATAAGGCTCGCATACAGACGCAAAAATTATAATCATATCACTGGTTCTACTTACTTTTTTCCTGCGACTCGTTACGATGTGGAAAAATACTTGTCGATCTTTTTTCTATGTATGTATGTATGTATGTATGTATGTATGTATGTATGTATGTATGTATGTATGTATGTGTATGTATGTATGTATGTATGTATGTATGTATGTATGTATGTATGTATGTATGTATGTATGCATGTGTCATCATCGTCGTCGTCGTACAGTGAAATACAGTGAAGCAAACTGATCGTTGCCCAACTCGCAATGCATACAAGGTTAGTGGTAAAATTTAAGGTAGACGGATTGGACCTACTTTGACGGAGGGGGGAGAAGGTGAACCACTGCGACCAACACACAGAGTACACAGTCTAAGTGCGCAGACACACCTTTCGAAGCATTCTGACCTGATAAGAAATGACAACAAGAACGCCACTGCTGTCGGTTCGTTGCCATATCCTTCAATGTCTCCAAGCCACCGGTTGTAACGTCTTTCGGACCCCAACGCGGAAGGTGAGAGACACCTACCCTACCTAATGGTTCTGTGCATTTCTCCATGCCTCGTCTCCACGTCATCTGTTGACCTTCACGCGGTTTCCTCCAGCCCAGATTAGCTAAAGCAAATAAAGCACGGTGCGGCAGACGATGGCTGGGCATACGCAATACGTACCCTAGCCAGTGAAGCCTACTAATTCGAATCCAGTGTGCTAGCAGGTTTATATCTAATAGACTCCCAAACACAGGACGGCTTACCTCCACATTACAAATCCGTTCGCTCCATCCAACGTGGGCTAAACTGCGTAAACACCGTTAGACGAAAACCTCTAATCCATGGATATCTTTTACTAGCAAATTCAATGTCTCACAACCATAAAGCAGGACCGAACGAACGCTATCACAATATACATGACCTTTCAACTTCAGTGAAACGTCGCGTCTACGCTGAAAATGTTTCAGTCCTGCGTATGCTACTCAAGCCTTGGAAACGCGGGCGGTTATCGCCTATGCTGCGCTACCGTAATAAGTCACGCAGCTACCCAAGTACCAAAAGCAATCCACCATAAATAATTTCTGGCCATCTAGTTTCAGAGCGGGAGTAGGCGACACCCAATCCTGCAGTATGCTTGGCACTTTGAAGACGCAAAGCCCACACCGAATGTGGCAACCGCTATTGTTAGTCTATCAAGTGTATGCACGGTTAGAGTGTGTAAACTCTGCGTGTTGATCAGAGGTTTGTTTACCCTCTTCCCCTTCCCTCAAAACTGGTTCGATCCCTGTCCACCCAACATATTACCACTGGCCATTGCGAGTTTGGCAGCGATCAGTGAAGTTCGCTTCGCTGTATTTCGCAGTAGGATGACGACGATAATAATAATAATAAAACAACAGCAACGATCACTATGGGATTCAGCCTATTTATCGCAATGCATTTTTCCTATGAAACAAACTAATAAACGATAGGTTCATGATGACAATGAAAACCATACATATTTGAATATCGTCTAAAACGTGCAACTTGTGGACCACATTGTGCTGACATGAGGCATTTCAACTACTCAATTAAATATAATAGCCAGAACTTTGTTGCTAAATATCAAACTTACGCTACATATAAATTCAACTTAAATACCTTTATTAAATAGGGGGTAGTTTTGATGGTGCAAGAACGAAGTGAATCAGTGTAGCGGGGGAAATGTGGTAAAAACTTCTGTGAATACAGAACCTCCTCACTGTTGGATTGAACGCGTACTATTCATTCTTACTCACTGCTTTCTGTACACGCTGCCGCTGGCAATTTCTTAGCCATCGTGGAAGAAACATCTCGGTGATCACTTAATGAGTTGGAATTGAGGAATCGAAAAGTAGACGAAAGCATTTGTCGCCTGTTGGATGTGACGAATTCCGATATTCATCTTTTAACCTCTATTAATGATTCGCTTATCCTCTACCTAATACTGGCGACTTCGTCACCTTGATGTTGCCTGTAAGCTTTGAGCTCAAAACAGAAGTTCATCTCATCTGTGTAATCATTATCCACGGAGAATTCAAAGTTCACAACAGATTGTATGAAACGCTTAGTCGAACGAACGCTTTGCTGTCGTCCGGTTCAATACCACGCTTAACCAATCAGGGCTTTGTGGTTCACCACTCCAAGTCTCGGGACTTAAGTTACCGGTTTCTATCACTGAACAGCGGGTCCTCGTGACTATGGGATTTGCCCCGTTTGCTGTTTATCACAAGAAAGTATGAAATTAAAAAATGAAATAAAAAAGAAGCGGATTCATTTGCTCTGGCTAAACAACTCAAATACATTGATTGTTTTTTTTTTCAAAAACGTGCCTTTGATTGTGAAGGTGACTGCAGTTGCATTAATAAATTATTATAATCTCCACTCCATCCATTTGCTTTTTTCTCGTATGCTCCTGTACGTGTACTCTTTAAAACTCTGTTTTGTTTCCACCTCCAGTCAATATACACGCTCGGTTTCGTAACACAATCTTAGACACATTTTGCTGTGATGGTTAGGTTGATTGAAACAGTTTTCTAGGATTTCTGGCTCTTTATCTTCGACTCTATTGTATCGGTTAACACAATTTTACCCATATTTTTCTCATTTTCACTGCACCAAGTTTGGCAAAACAGGATCCCGAAAATGGTTCATTCACGTATGCTGTGCCGATGAGGAAAATAATCTGTGTACTGTACTATTCACTAATCCACACGCTAATTTTTGTTGTCGTTTTGCACAAACCGAAAACACTGGCTCACTAGCCAGAGAGCAAAAAAAACTCCATCCCCTCTCGCTGAAAGCCAAACACTTTGTACTTTTACCGAAGTGATGTTGAGGCATTTTCGTCCCGCTTCCCTCTCGCCTTGGCACCTTCCAGTGCTGCTTTTTAAACTCATTTCTTTCAATCATGGTTTGATTTTTATTCCACATTGTTCATCTATTGGTCTTCCTGTCATTTTCTCCTACTTTTGGCGATTCATGAAACCTTGCAGCCTTTGGATATATAGGCAATCAACTCGACTGGGACGCTATAACCTTATGGTTTTGAAAACTTCTCACAGAATCAGCTCCACCGTTTTTGGACTTTGTTAGGGGAGTTCGAAACCGGAGTCGGTGTGTGAAAACATCAACCCATTTTGGACCAACATTCAGTTCATTGGATCATCAGCCTTTTAAACGGAGTAAAACATCCAAGATACCTGAGTCGATTGAGGAAGCCCTACTCACTGGCTTCTCGTGGCAGAGGTGTTTTCTCACCAAAGTGAGAGGACGAGAACCCAACATCCGGTTAGGTGAAACACTTGGAGTCGTACTACGCGAGTAGGCTAAAATCCCTGATTTCAAAGCAAACATGAAGAGGCGTACGGACCACACTTCTCTGGTCGTGGTAGTGGTCACTGGTTCAATTGGGTGTCGAGGTGTATTGAGCACCTTGGATGTTTGACCCTGTTCAAAGGGCGTGTGATCTGAAGAACTGGACACCGACCACCCCCACCCCCCAGTGAACTACGATTTTCCCACAAGGCCCCGACGTCTTACGGGTCAGGCTTTGGTTAGCCGAAGGCCCCGGTTGTGGACTCCCTAAGAAGATTCACCTGCTTTGGTCTGAGTAACCTGGCAGTATCGTGCTCACGAGCAAATCATGGACTTTTGGCTTTTTATAAAGATTATTGTACTGCGATTTCTTTGCCAAATAGTCTGAACTCATGCCTGCGCGAAAATAAATAACAATCCAATACATCTCGGTATCTTATAGAGCCGGTGACCTCTACCACGACCGGGCGTATGCGTGCGCTTCTTTTTGGTTGGTTTGGAATCAAGGTTTTTAGTCAACTCCTCCCAGGTAGTCACGAGAACCTTTTGTTCACTCATGGAAACCGGCAACCTAAGCCCCGGGACTTAGAATGGTAAAACACATAAGGACCCCCTAGAATAAGTGTGGCACTGAGTCAGACGAGAACGAAGCTGCATACCACCGACGTTGTTTGGGCGTGTCGGAGATTTGGCCTCGAATCCTACGGCCTAAAGAGCTCCATCGTGTTTCGCTGTACGATGAGAGCCCAAATCACGGCCTTTGTCAGCAACTTAAACCGCTTGACCACCACCAGACGCACTTTATTCCGAACTCCGTTTTGCAACATGAAATTTATCCCTTCAACGGTAAATCACCTATGGTGTAAAAAAAAGACTCTAGTTGACATGGCTTGATTGTCTGTGCATCACATTCAGAAGAACTGGACTTTAGTCTCAACAGTTGACGATCAAATACGGTTCAAGACATTGAAGGTGGTTCAGGGCGTTAGTGTCACCGACGAGAACCTCGGAACAGGATGTTAAATCTTGAACCAATTCTAATGTTTCCCGAAGAATTCAGCTTCAAAATACCCTAAAACAATGAGTCTAATGAGTGGAGTAAGTCTGAAATTGTTCTCATATTAAAAGACTTGACCAACATGACATGAAAGTCTCATTACATAACTTAGTGTAAACATAGAAGGAATGGTCAAATGGACCAAATTAGAAGTTATGATAACAAATAAGCATTGGGGATCGGAAAAGACAATCACATAAAGCTCTAATAAGTAAAATATGTCACTGAGTTGGAATGCCGAAGCTGTCTATCGTTCTGTTCGACGACCGATGTACCCAAAATACTCCTACAATTTCAAAGGTAAAATCGAACGAGGAACTCAGGTAGGTATTGGCTAGTTGTGAGCCGTTTCTCTCACGAGATCGTAGAATTAGACTTAGCACTCCGTTTGATTAGCTCCCTAGTTAAAATATATTTAGTCAATCAATAAAGGTAAAAAATGAGAAACAAGATTGATAGCGTCACTAAGAAAACCGTATGAAACAAGACACATAAGCAAAGTTTATAAGTCGTCATCATAAACGCGAGTGTTTACGAAATGCATTCCTGTCGCCTAATTATAAACATCGATTTTTATTGCACATCACTGTGATGAACAACAGACGAGGCTGACCCCATAGGCACGAAGATCTGATATTCAGTGATGGTAACATGCAACCTAAGCCGCGGGAATTTGGGTGATGAAACAAATAAGGCGCAGCTAGATTAGGCGTGGTACTAGACCTGACGACAGCAAAGCTGCCTACTTCCAAAGCTGGGTGGTGGTTGGTGGGGCCTGGATCTGGGACCGTAGGGTCCAAAGCATACCGGTAACATCGACTAAACCACTGTGCCACCACCACTAAGGGTGAGTGATAAGCCTGTGAAATCCTCAGGTCCGGATTGTGACAGATTGCCTTCTCCTCTTATCTTGAATGATCTTCCTATGGGACCAGGCACCTGAACGGCTTCTGCTTTGGAAGTCCTCCCGGCGTTTTTTATTACACACCTAGGTGTGATGAACAGCAGACGGGGTAAACCCCATAGTCACGAGGACCTGCTGTTAAGTGGCTGAAATCGGCAATCTAAGCCCCGGAACTTGGAGTGGCGAACCACATAAGGCCCCGATAAGTTAGTCGTGGTATTGAACCGCACGGCAACAGAGCTGCCTACCACCAAAGTCGGGTGGCGGTGGCGGGGCTCGAACCTCGGACCATAGGGTCCAGAGCACGCCGGTGACAGCGACTAAACCACTGCGCCACCACCACCCTTCCTTCCCATGGGGGCTGTTTCCTCGCAAAAGTGAGAGGACGAAAAGCCAACATCCGCGTCTGTGAGCCAGTTGCGGTTGTCCTTCAGGTGTAGGTTAAAATCCCTGATTCCAAACCAAAAGTGCATAGGCGAACGAACCACACATTTTTCCGGTTGTGGCAGTAGTCATCGGCTCGGTTGGGCATCCAGATACGTTGGACACCTTAGACATTTGAACCCGTTCAAAAGAGGTCTGATCAGATTATCTGAACAGTTCAGTTTTACAACCATTAAACATGCATTTTGATGCGCCGGTTAAAGATAACAGAGAATAAAGAATGGAAAGTTGAGAGTAGAGTCAATAGATAATTTATATATACTGAGGCTGTAAAACAATTAGTAGATACACGAGCGTCACTTTTAGCGAAACAGCCATATCACTCAGTGTCTCTAAACACCGATTAACATGATCTTGAGGTCCCCATCAAGGGAGGTTAACGGTACTTGTTCGACCCAGTGTCCTGATTGGGGTTTTCATACCCTCATGTCAGATCTTAGCCTGACCACCCTTGACCTTTTTCCATCCACTGCCTGTCTCGGCAAACATCGCGCACCGTGGTAATTTACTTGGTGACATGCGCAACATATGCCCCAACCTTCATAGTCTATGAAGGTGCAGTTTCGTAGTGATGGATGATCTGGACACTGGTCCCCAATGGGTTGCGGTTTTTACACACTACTAGGCTGTTTTAAGGGCTAGATTTTGGCTGGCCGAAGGCACCTGCTTTGAAGTACCTGAGAAGGTTAGCCTACTTTAGCTTGGAAAACCTGATAGTGTTCCGTAAATGAACAACTCACGAGCTGTTCTTTTGTTATAAAGATTGTCGTCCCGTGATTTGAACTCAGGTCAGTGTGAAATAGAACGCCAATATGACCAAATTTGGTTAACAGTCGCCTGAACGATGACTGTATGCGACCGTTAGTCATGAAGGTAAGATATTTCACTCCGATCGATCAAAGAAATTTATCACGGTCTTCGTCTGACTTGGTTTCCAACGAATATAAACAAACTGCTTTGTTGGTTCTAAATTCCAATATGGTATGGTCGAACATCAGAGCTAATGGTCTGCACGTCACAAAAGTTTATTTTCAATGATTTTGAAACAGAGATGTGAAGAACAAATATAACAAAAGAACAATAAATATGTTACACTTTATTTGTATTATTGTATCATATTTGATTTGTGCAGGCGACTGTGCCCACATTTTAGTCAAAAATGTGTTCATCGTTACAGTGGGATAAAAATGAAATGAAAATAATATAAAATAATGATGAAACTTAAATAGGTGTTCATCTTTGTAAGTTAGTTCTTTACGGATCCTCACCGTGCCAGTGAGAATACGAGCCCAATAGGGAACCGTAGAGTTGCGGTAAATGTTTATGCGGGAGGGCAAGCAGTGAAAATTGGATCGAGTTGAAGCGTGGAAACGACGAGCAAATAAATCGGGATTGAGTGGATGACTGGGGTCATTGAGTACCTTTTGAGCGAAGTTCTTAGATGAAGTGATATGCAACTTAAGCAATTTTGTGATCAGTGTTTAAAGAAATAAAAGAAACACGGCTAATTATCCCCAAACCGCGACGTAGAGTAATGAAGGTCTTTCTAAGTAGACCAGGGAAAATAACGGGCGAACAATAAAGTGATTGGAAAAATGCATTGATACATACCTGACGCGAAATTGTCATAGCTTGCGTATTTGAAAAGATAAGCGAGATAAGCAAGCACATGAGAAGACCACTGTAGATTGCTATCTATGGTAATTCCTGGGTATTTCGTGGTGTGGCATATGTTTACCGGGTGTATCTGCAACATGCCTCATAATACAGCCTGTTTAACCGCGTATGTTGATATTTTACCATCATCTAAATAATCAAAAGCGATTGTTCTATGAAGCCAACATTTGTACAGATCCCCAAAAATGATGCTAAGTATGTAAGAGGCTATTAGTTTAAATAACGCAACGTCAACAGAAGACAGGTTAATTTAATTGCTTCTCGTAAAACAGCTGTACACTTACTTCCTGTCAGTCGTTTTCTGTCTTATGCGACGAATGGCCGCAGCTGCATCTGCTTTGCCACGAGAAAGCCTGCCGGCATTTGCTTCAAAGTCAAAGTCAGAATCTGAATCACCACGTCGACGTTTCGTTTGCCTGCGCTTGCGAGTAGTACTGCGAGGATTGCGTTTCCGTGGGGTTCTGTTGGAAACTGCCTTCCGCTGTGGTATTGGTGGTGGTAGTTCCTCTTTCAAAGCGAGCCCCACCGCGTCTACGGATATTTGTTCGAGCCGTTGACACTGCACCTGACACTCAGTGGGAGCTACAGGGACAGTAAGGGAGATATTAGGACTTCGGATTCCAATAGGAGAGGCCAACTTCGCTTCCAAAAATTCATTTGGGTCTCGCACACTGGGTACGGGAGTACTATCTGGAATGCTCTTTCGAGGGGAACCCATAGCGATTGAGATCTTCTCAAGAATTGGTAAACCATTCCTTGAATGTGAATTGTCATGTTGTGCAGATGATGATGAGGAGGCTGATGAACTGCTAGAGCTGGAAGATGATAAAGAATTTGCGTGGGGTGCACTTCGAGGGCGTTCGGATGTGTTTCGCAGTTCTAACGCTGGCGGAGAAGAGCTGTTAGGCAACTTGCTTACAGCATCTCGTGCAACAGGTTTATAACAATGACTTTTTTCGGAAGCGGTTCTCGAAGACCCGGAAGAGTGTCCTGCGATTTCAGCGACAATCACGGGAGGAGACGGAGACGAAGTCTGATTGAACAAACCGTGTAACAAATGACTGGGTGAGGAGCTTGCCGGTGACAAAGCTGGAGGAGGTGGAGAACTGCCACCTGAATAACACTGACTTCCCTCGCCAGTACCTGAGAGTTCGGTGGAAACAGTGAGGTCTCCTATTAATGTATTGCCCTTGCACGTAGACAATAACGGAGGTCTGTTGAATCCAAAATTGCCAGAATTTCCGCTGCGGACGCCAAGATCAGGAGGCCCTTCCAAACTGCAATTGGGTTGCATAAATCCCTGTCTCGAGGCCTTTGCATGCCTAATGGATCTGTCGTTCATTTGGTAATATAACATCCAATCTGAGAAAAAATTGCTCATACGATTGCAATTTGCATGTACCAAGTCGGTTCAGAAGGGATATAAATAGATGAACATAATCAACAAATGAGCAAGACTTGGTTAAGCGGACAACGGTGAAACAAGATAGCTGGAATGCTTGAACATTTTCGGTTCGGCAACAAGAAACGATACCACACCACTGAGTGTCCTGACAATTAAAAAGGACACCGTTCCATCACCACAAGAGGCATGTTACTATTGGACGTTGTGTTTTGAAAATTCCGCCTCAAAATCAGGTCAGGTCAGGTCAGGTCAGGTCAGGTCAGGTTGCACAGGACTGGTAATGGCCACG